AATGACACCGCACAAGTAGTGAACTGACCGCATCAAGAAATATATTGCATTGTCATTAGATCTCTACGGAACACATCCTGTGCCGCGAGTGCGCGCCTAGTTGCCCAGTGCACGGCGGTGAGCTCCTTACCATGTTTGCGTGCGCAAGGCTTGCCGGGCAGACTGCGGGGAGGGCCAGGATGTGCGGAATCAGGTGAGTCGGCCGGGCACTCTGTGACTGCCCAACGCGGTGTTGACTAGAAGTGACGCTGTCATAACAGGCATCGTGGTCCGTCCGGTCCATCAGGCCGCCGCTGCCCGGACATGTGCGTTCTGGTGCTTTGGCGGGCTCGATGAACCGGGGGTGTGAGACTGACGACACGGGTGTCATGCTTCTGGCCGGGCGTCCATTTGTTGTCACTATCAAGGAGGACCGCCGACGGCAGATAGTAGCGGGAGGTGCCCGTAACAAGTGGGCGTGCTTCGCGGGCGAGCGTGGACACGCAGGTCGATCATTGGCAGCAGTCGCGCGGCGCACACTGGGATACCGCGGAGGACGGCTGACCGCCGCCCGCCGCGATGATTGCAGCGCAAGAGTATCTGCGCACACATCGACGAAGCATGCGCTGACTGGGCCGTGGTACTTGAACACTGCTGGTGCGGGCGCGGAGATGGCGTGACCATGGGACGACCTGTGCGGGACAGGACACTGCCGCTGCTAAGGGCGGGCAGAGGAGCATCGCTGCACATACCTGACGTCGCCTCGTATTGCCGCGCCCTGACCTTTGCTCGCCCGCAGGCGAATGGCGCTGCGCGATAGGCTGGCGCGGAGTGCGTTGGACGTGGGAGCAAGTCGGTGCCTGTTCGCACTTGAACGGTGAACGTGCTGACCGGGCCTTGATGCCTGTGGGGCTGCTTACGGGGGAATGACCAATGCGGCGCATTTGGAAGGGGCGGTCTGGGTGCGCGCGGCGGTAGGTCCTCGGTTGTGGTAGTGCTGCGTGCTCATCGTCGACCAATAGGACGGCGGATGGCGGTGCATGCGATCGCGCCGGCAGACGGGACATGGCAGACGCGAGGGCAGTGACGCGTGCAGAGACGAGTGGCTCGACTGGGTGATGTTCGCGACGGCTGCCGTGCGCTGCCCCTCCGCTCCGGGTTACTGTGCGTCCCTGCGGGGCGCCTTACAGATGTTCTGGGCGGGCTGTGTGCCGTCAGCTGGTGCGCGTCGACACATCATGCGTCGGTGGACAACAGCGGTCCGTTTTGGTCCTGTGTCTAAGCACGCACGCTCCAGTGTCGCACACGAAATATATTTTACACTTCTAAGCGCATTTGTAGTAATGCAGCAGCAGCTGCGGGCGCGCGCGACGGCATGGGCAGCGCGTCTTGACCGAGTGCGGGAGACTGCGCGCGCACGCGCGCTCCATCCGCGACGCCACCCACGGTCGCTCGAGGCTCATGTGGTCGTGGGCCCGGCGTGCGCATTAGGCCAGAAGATGGCGGGGGAGGCGTCGTGCAGAGCGCGGGCGTCGGCACAGGCAGAGCGCGGGCACAGACCCAGGACACGCAGACGGACGCTGATGGCTTCGCGACGGTAGACTGGAGTGAGTCTTGTGCTATTTGACGTGTTCCGGTGGTCACTCACCTCACTCGAATAGACGTGCTGCAGCGCGCGGCTCGACGTGTTCTGCTGTGCACCCAGCCTCCGACTCGACTCAATGGTGTCTGCGACGGCGGCCGTGTGCCGCCCCTCCGCTCCGGGCTGCGGTGCATCTCTGCAAGGCGCCACACGGGCTGCGCGCGGTCGGCGGGCCCGCGTCGGTGGATGGCGCGGTGGATGGCGGCATGGACGGCGGCGTGGGCGGCCAGTCTTAGCCCTCCGTCTACGCACCACACGCTTCGGTGTCGCCAATGAAAATATATCTTACATTTCTGTACGCATTCGCAGTAATGCTGCTGCTGCTGCGGGCGCCCGCGACGCTTGAGTGCGCGCGATGCCATGGACAGCGCATCATGACCGGGTCTGGGAGACTGCGCACGCAACGCGTGTCCCGCCCTCGACGCCGCCCACGGCGCGAACACACCACGTCGATTGGAATGGAATATGCGCCATAAACGCCGCCGTATGGCAATTCCCGCTGGTTTCACCGTGCAGATCGACGATATCGTATGCCCGCGTTTGACATTACAGCGCTCTGCCGTAAGACCGCGGGTTATTCGATCATCCAGCGGGTTCCAGCGTCGCAACCGCCAAGCCGGGGGATTGCACCAGGCTCACTGGCCTGCTGTGATCACGCGGCACTGTGGGAGCAGAGCCACTTGGTTTCGCGCCCGAGTCGCGGACGCGCGGGCGGTGTGTGCGGGCTCTCCCGCCTGGCTGGTGTTGATTGACGGACGGGCACCGTCAGCCCCTCCTGTGGTCGAGGTGTTCCCCGCCCCCAGAATCGAGCGGAGGCACGCGCGCAGCAGCGGCCCGCGCGGGGAGCTCGTGGGGGGCATCCCGGGATGACGGCAGGCCGGCGCGCGCGCGCGTCGTGAGGGGCACGGCGTGTCGTGCACATCCGCGAGGAGCCAAGATGCCGATCAGGGCGCGCGGGGTCGCGCGGATCACGGTGGCACGCACGCGAATGGCGCAAATGCGAGGATGCGCACGCGCGGGCGCAGCATCGATCGCGCGGGGACGCTGCGTGCGACGCGGGCGTCGCTACCGGAGCGTTGAGGGTGACGGGCGATGTGGGGGCTTGCGGCGGGTAGACGTGGCGGGTGCGCACGTCGGCGAGGGCGTCCGTCCGCGTCAGGCAGAATGACCGCGCCCAGGTACGCGGGCGGGGACGCGGGGGGCTGCCGTCATGGGTTCGGGTGAGTAACAGCTTAGCAACGCGGCAGCCGATGCGAGACAAGGGCCGCGGCGCATGGGTAAGATGCCCGGGCGGCAGTCGTGGGAATAGCGACAGGTCGGGAGAGCGTGCGAGGGATTTAAAGGCGGGGGTCGTTAGAGATTGCTGCATGGTTTACGACTCGGCTTCCGCTCTCTCCATCTTTTGTCCTGCTCGCCCGCTGTCTTGCTCGCCTGCCCCGGCTCTATTATGCTGCGCGCTTGGTCAGGTAAGCCGTCGTCGTGTTTCGGCATGATGTCAGTGACGTGCGCGGGCTTAGGGACCTTCGTCGCAACTGGGACGGGATCAACGAGGCGGTGATCGATGACTGCGATGGTGCGCGCTCTCCGGGAACTGACCGCTGACCGGCCAGAACGTCGTGTCGCATGTCCGCATCCGCGTTGGCTGGTGAGTGGCGGACGATGGTTTGGGCATGCAAAAGCTTACCGCGATGTGTGATCGGCAGGTGTTCGCATCTCGCGGTGTGCAGATCGCGTCTCGCTGGCTGCGCGGCGGTGCGGACCATCCGCGTCCTCGTCGCCGCTCTGCAGCACTGGTGGCAAGAGGATGCAGTCGCCGGGCTGCGCGCGTAGTGAGGCGCAAAGGCCAGTGGACAGGTAGCGGGAGCTGCGCGCAGATCGTGACCGGGGTACTGTTAATAAAGCGCGTGCAGTGTGTGTGTGTGTGTGTTCCGACTCGCAATTGTGGCGGGGGATGGATGTTTCTTGTAAGGCAGCGGTGCGGGACGGAGGCGGCGCGCACGGGCCACGTCCCTCACTGTCGTATTGATGTTGCGCGTCCGGGGAAGTCTGACGGCGCTGGCGTTGTGGAACCGACAATTTGCACCATCGTTGTTGCCCTGAAGCACCGGCAGCGGTTTGATGCAGGCGAGGGCCGTCGTCTCGGTTCCAGGCTGGCGTGCGGCGTGCGGAGGGCGTAGCGAGCTGTTTGGAATATCGGCGGCGGCGGTTGGGCACAGCCTCGGTTGCGGGCAAACGTCTAGATGTGTGGTCGTCGAGCTGTGAGCGTGCGGGACGTGGGCGTATATTTGTGAGTAGATAGTGACCGGGAAGTCAATGACAGAGGGCCGGACGACGTACGTGAGGGATGTGATTGTTAGAGCGCGTGCATTGTCAAGAGGGTCGCAGCTGAATGAGTGAGGCGGCGCGGGACAAAGATGGTACGCACGGCCGGGATCCATTGAGCGATGCCTGACGCTGCACGAGGCGTTTGCCGTTGTCTGCAGCCTCGACATCTGGTGTCTTCTCCGGAGGCGCGCTCGCGGTGCGTGTGTTGAGCGGGTCGATCATCTGCCCGAGTCTGCGTGGAGACTGTCTAGCGGCGGTCGCGATGGCCGACGCTGCTCAAAGTCTGCGCGTTCCCTGCAAGATCCCACGTCTTGCGTCTGATGCTCGCGCTCGTGATGGGCCCAAGTCTGTGTGCGCTGATGCGCGCCGAGGCACGCTGAGGCCGGGTTCCCGTCGTCGGATTGTCGACGCTGGTAGGATGCACGCGCGTGCGCCATTGCGTGCAGCGGACGTCGCCTTGGATGCGAGGGAGCGATCGCATGTCGCAGATGTCAGAGAGGAGGCAGGCAGGCTCGGAAGGCAGGCGTGCAGGGCAGGCGCGCAGAGGGACGGCCACGCACACGGGAGCAGGCTCAGCTCGCGAGGGATGACGACGACGCGACGACGCTGGGCGAGAGGATGCACGATCAGGGACGATCGGCCCTCCCGCGCGTCTATTTGCGCATTGACTGGACATGACGGCGCTTGCACGGTGTTCTACCTATCCACGGATGCCCACGCTTGGCCCGCGCTCGACGTCGAAGCAGCCTTGCATTGTGTATGCATCGCGAATAGCGTGCAATACGCGTAACCTGCAACCTGTCAGGGGCGGCGCCATGTCGGAGCAGATTGCGAGGGCAACCAGGCTAAGGGGGCCTTCCATTCCGTGCGCGATGCAGCGAAGGCAGCGTCACGACGAGGGATAGCCTGCAAGCGCCCATTGCGGGCTTCGTGAACCTTGGGCCGCTTCCGGTATTGGCCCCGCAATTGAAGACTTAGCGCGCGGACTGGTGGGGCAGTCGGGCGGGCCACGTCCGAGTGGTCAGCAGTGCAGGAGTGGAACATACCGAAAAAACGGTGCGTGCAAGACGCAGTTCCCTTCGCCTCGCCACTCACCATCTGCCGGATTGTGTTCGCTGCGACACACCAGAACAGGTCATGTGCTGTGGAGCGGGCCTCGCCCCCCATGCGTGGGCTTCCATAACACGGGCTCTTGCCAGCATCGACTACACTCACAACATTCTGTCAGACATTGACAATGCTCGAACTTAACATTCTGTCAACCACGCATGCTTGCAATGTCCGTCGTGGGTGCAAGCCTATCTTACACCACCTCGGCGATGATCTTCCCACTGCAGCAACACCTCGGTCAGCCCAGAGCCCCTGAACGCGGTGCCCCCGCTGATAACAAACCGTGGGACTAACCTGTTCTTGTTGTCCTCCATCTCACGGTGTGCTGCCTGTATATCATCCCAGGGGTACACCTAGAATCAGAGCGGCACGGCGTCATTTTATGTTGAGAGAAAGTGGCACGAGAGGTTGGACGTGCCTTGTGGATGTAGATCCGCAATGCGCCATCCCCGTTAGCTCCCGTGATGTGGCCCAGAGCGTCACACTGGAATCTGTTGCCACTTGGCACCGGGTTACGCCTCAATGGAGCAGAGCAATACGCACCTCGCGATCAAGTCTGCAGTATATTCAGGCGAGCGGGAACGAAGCGTGGAGCCCTCGATGCGGAGACGCTTGTACAGGAGTGGACCCAGATTGAACGAGTCGACTTTACCACCTGTTATGATCTGATGTGGCGTCTCGTTCAGTTGAGGTCAGGGCGATTGACTGACCACTAAGCAGTCCAAGCATTGTCATCCTGCCATCCCTTGCAAGGGCATCGATGTTCTTTTGCCAGTGGCTTTGGCCAACGAAGTCAATGATGACGTCCACGCCGTTGCCATTGGTCATTTTCTTGACCTCCTCCGCAAAGTTCTGCGTCTTGTAATTCACGACGTGAGTCGCGCCGCTGGGAATTGACTTGAGCCAATCTAGCTTGTCGGCAGTTGAAGCTGTCGCGGTGACGGTCTTCCTGTGATAGATCAACGCGTCTCAGGCACGAGCATCACAGATCTAATGAGTGAAGACCCACGTGCACATGCCCGGTGGAAACGACGAGAGCCCACTGTCAGAGCCATATAGACGGTCAGATAGACGGTCGTATAGACAGTCGTACAGTTGTATAGATGGTCGTAAGCGCCCGGGCACTAATGCTATCCGTTCCCTCGTCGCGCTAGCCCTGCCTCCTCTCGGAATCACACATCTTCCGCCACTCTCTATGCAATGCTCTCCGGCTCTCCGGCTCTGCAAACTGGCTGCCTACCTGCCCGAGCGACAGGGCAATTGTACATATCTCTATGATCCCGCTACACCAGTTTCTTGTCTGAATGTCCTAGGGTGCCTCCTTGCTCGTGTTCCCGCCCATCGCACCTTCCTCGCGC